ACATGCACAGAAGTTTTTAGAAGTGTATTCGGTAGCAATCATACGTGAAGAGGGTAGTAATGGAGATCGTGAAATGGCAGCAGCGTTTTATCTAGCTGGCTTTACAGTTGTTGATGTAAATATGGAAGATTTTTTGGACTCTCAATTCTCTTTAGATTTCTTCAGTGGGATTGCTTTTGTGGGAGGATTTGCATATGCTGATGTTCTGGGAGCTGCTAAAGGTTCATCTTAACAATTTTTTCCAAACACGTCTTGGGATTTTGGTTAGATATTGTTTAGGGTTTAGTTTTCGAACATGCACCGTATTTGAGGAGGTGTGGAGATTTCAGGATGGGCTAGCTTGATAATGCATCATGAGAAAGTCCTACGTGAAGTTGACCGGTTTCGTAGGCGTCCGAACACATTCTCATTGGGTGTTTGTAACGGGTGCCAGCTAATGGTGATTTTAGGCTGGGTTGGTCATACTGAGGAAGGTAATTCAAATTTTTTTTGGGAGGTAGGATGTTACATTTTCGATGGTGGATTGATGGGTCTTTTGACATAATGGTTTTTTCAGGTGGTGACCGGGTCGTTCAGCTAAAAACAAACAAGTGCGGACGGTTTCAAAGTTCTTTTAGTTCAGTTGTGATTACTGAATCCCCTTCCATATTTTTTACTGGAATGGAAGATTCAGTCTTGGGAGTATGGTCTGCTCATGGTGAAGGTTCGTTAGAAATTTCTTCTCAAAGTTTAAATTAAATGGAAAAGCGAGTTTGGAGCCTTTTAGGTAAGTTCTGCTTCAAAGAAAGCAAGGGGCTGGATGAGCTGGAACGAAGGAGTCTTATACCAGTCTGGTACTGTGATGCAAGTGGGAAGCCAACAACAAAGTTCCCAAAAAATCCCAATGGGAGTCCAAGGTTCGTGATTGGTTTTTTGGAAATGATTATTAGTTAAGGGTAAGTTAGTTTGTTTTGTTGCTAGTTTTTCAGTTATAGCAGTTTTTTTTTTTTTGCAAATAAGTGTAGTATTTTTAGATGGGTTAATGTATTTTGAGGGTAATACAACTCTAAAACTTCAGAGGAGTAGCTGCAATCTCTTCACCAGATGGACGTCATTTAGCGATAATGCCGCACCCTGAACGCTGTTTCTTGTCATGGCAATGGCCGTACTATCCGGAAAAGCTTAAAACTAAACTTC